AAACTCAAGACCTCTAGATATCACGAAGTAGCTCAGGATTATGAACAACTTGTAAAAGATGATCCATTGGACATTCAAGCATTAGCTGGACTTGTAGCATCATATTCTCAATATGATGTTAATATTGCTGAAAAATATGAAGTTCTTTACCAGAGATTAGTGTACAGGCGGAAATTGATGTAGAATCTCTTGAAAAAGTTGTATCTGGTGTGAAAAAAAGTTACATCAAAAAAGCTGATACTAAAACAATGTAATATAATGAATTTTATATTATTTGAAAAGATACTCTATTTTGACTTTATCTTTATTTATTAAAATTGAATAATTAGTGAGAAACAAACGAAGACAACACCTAAAAAGAAAAAGAAGCGTAAACCTTTGTTACCAAAAAACTATAATCCAGATGTACCATCAGATCCCGAACGTTGGTTACTTAAACGTGAGCGATCTACTTATAAAACAACAAAGGGTAAAAGAAAACAGCAATTAATGAAAGGTCACAAAGTGTTGCAGTTGCTGGAGGTGGTATCGGAGGTACAGGAAGTGCTAATATTGCCAGAAAGAGGTTAATCTTAAATTTATTACTATTATTAAATTGATTTTTCTTTTAATAATGCTAATATTGTTAATTTTGACCTCTTCTTTATAAATATCAGTAACGTAACGTCAACTGAGACAGTTGTTACTTCAAAACCAGAACCGCCTGTGTCTACTCCAAAACCAAAAGTTGGTGGTGATAAGAAAAAGAAAGGAGGTAGCAAGTTGTGATAAGTGATCTTGGCCGAAACTAAAAAACCGTTTAAACCGACTTTATGACCTGTTCTATCTAATTTTTTTTTTCAAAACTAGCCGGTCGATTTTTATATATAAGAATAAACTTATCATGTGAGATATATAAAGCTACTCTACATAAAATCTTTTGATATAGTGAATTTACAAAAATAAATCTCTCATTCTATTTATTATACAGTGAATAAATAAATGACAATCAGGAATAGAGGCGTCAAAAAGCTCTGATTAATAGATTAGTACTATATAGAAAGAGTAGCTTTTAATTTATTCTAAAATGAAGAATTATAACATGTTGTTGTATTTTATACTATCAAAATTTTTTAGTGTTTTCCTATATTTTGGAACAGAATTATTTGGATTTGGCATATATTTGCCATTTCTATAATTTAAAAAATTCAATTTATACACAATAAACTCTTTCTGTTAATCACAATATCAATATCAGAGCAAAAAAAAATTTTTGTTTTTACTTTAGAAGTCTAGTAGTATCTCTAATATTTACCTAGTAGGCTATATATTTTGACTAGCATGAGTGCAGAAATCTAGTTGTAAGAGATGCAAGTCTAGTCATAAGAGGCTTTCTCTTAGTGAAGCATATATATAGAAACTTGTCTATATATGTGAAATATTATCTATAAATTAAAACAAAATAAAAAAAAAAAAAAGTCATAAAGTTAAGATATAAAGTTTTAACTATAATATTAGAACTAGGTCTAGTATATTTTTCTTTTTAAAACTCTTTTTGATATTATTTTCTCTTTTCTTCAGATCTTTTGAATTTCTTCTTATCAAAAAATAACAAAAAGTAAGAGATTTGATAAATTTCTAATAAAGAATCAGTAAGTTTGTATTACTATTTAATTTATAAGTCATCTGTTAATATACAACTTAGACAAGACAACAAATATATATATTACTATTATATATATAATCTAATTATATAGATTAAATTTCTTCTGTTTGGCTAATCACTTATAATTGTATTTATATAGTTTAAAGTACTTTTAAAAATATAATATTTCATAAGTAAAAAATAAAAATTAAACATATTGTTATCTTCAAAGAAGTGCTAACAGTCATTATGCAAAATAATCTCAAATAATCCTGTATCTAGAAGTATCTTATCTAGAAGGTAAAATTTATATATAGGTTATAGCTATAGAATTATATATAATTACTAAATCATTAAATATAGATAAATTATTTAAAGAAAACTAACAGTATAACTTTTTTTTTAACAATAGATAAGTGATTTCTAAGCTATATTAAAGAGGTTTAAAGTATAAAGAATATTAATATATAAGAATAGAGTTAGAATAAGAGTAGTTAAAACTTTATATACATATATATATATTAAGACTAATAAATCTTATTATAATAAGCTTTGGATATAATAAATAATAGATTCTTAAATACTATATTAGTTTAGTATAAAAGGTGTAGTAGATATTTAAAAAATATATATTTAAACTTATTTTTTCTTTATTCTTTTGTTAAAATGAGAAGTGATAGAAACTAATTAAGTTTACAAATATAATATAATTTAACTAGTTGATTATCACATATTTTATAATTAGCTAATAATAACATATTATTTAATTTTATGTAATAACTAATCATGAGAAAGTTATTCAATATGATCTAATTAGAATTTAATTTTTTTTATATTTAGATGATCTTGCTTATTATTTTATTAAAAAAAAGTTTATAAAAGCTACAAAGTAAATTACTATATAACTTATACTAAAATACTCTTTTTTTAATTATTTTAAACTTATTTAGTTACTTTTTAGTATTTAGATATAATTTGCTACAATAATAATTACTTTTATAAAAATATTAAACTATATATAGTTTATTAATTTTTAATCTCTAAAAGGCTACTACTAGCCTATATCAAGATCTTTTATTTTGTTTTAAATTTTAATTACTTTTTCTTAATACTGAAATAAATCTATTAATCAATTTTTTTACTTGTTTTTTTCTGAATATTTATTTCTTTTTCTTTTTATATTTCTTTTACTATATCTATAAACTTAATATTTTCTTTATTTAGCTTTGCTCTTTTCTTTTTTATTTTTTATTTTTGTTTTTTCTTAGAATATTGTTCTTCTTTTTCTATTCAACTATTACCTTATAATAAAACTTCTATAATTATTTATAAAAATAATTCTAAAACTACTCAATAAAGTTAACTAAAATCAAATTTGCTTTTCCTTTAGAGCTAGTTATTTTTATAACTTCTCTTTGTTGTTTAGCATTTGTGAATCCTCTTAGTAGTAATCTTCTATTATACAAATTTGTATTAAGTTGTTTCTTGAAGATTACTTTTTTAAGTAAATTAGTATTTAAAGAGATATTATGCTGTAATAAGACTTCAAGTCCTATCAGTTGTGTTGCTTCTTCTTCTAAGTTTTTTTCAAACCTTTTAGTAGATTTTATATTCTGCAATATAATATAAAGTTTTGTTATTTCTGAAGTATACAATATATCTTTAATTTTTGTATAGTTTTAAATTTCTTTGAAAACAAATATCTTTTGTTAATAGTATATTGTTTATACATTTTATTCAAAATATAAGTGCTTTGTACTTTTTTAAGCTAATATACTTTTTATTCTGTAGCTTCTTTAAAACCTGTTATATATTATTCTAAATTAGTTTTTTATTTTTAGAGTCTTTGTAATTTTGCTTTAGGATATCTGCTATTTTACTTAATTTTAACTATTTTGTTTTATAATATACTACTAAGATAATATTTATAAAAAATCTCAAAAAGCTATTAATATTTTAGTTTTTCTATTCAAAAACATAATTAATATTTGCTATACCAAACTCTAGTATGCTTAATATATTAATTAAGCTTAAACTTCTTTTTACAAGTTTATTTATTAGATTATTACTAATATTATTACTATAATTTTTAACTTTATAAAGTCTTAGATCTTAATTTTTTGCTTTATAGCAGCTATTTATTTAGCTTAACAGGCTTCTGTTTTTAGCTTTGAAATAATTTTTTAGCTTGTTAATATTGTTGTATTTTTTAATAGCTTTTATTATAGCTTTGCTATATATAAAAATATGTACTTAAATTTCAATAGATGTTATTAGTAAAGCAGTTCAAATTGCATCTAATTCAGTATAAGTTGAAGAGAGCTAATTTTTTTTTTTTTTTTTTTTGTTGTTAAGGTGTTTACATTGCCGAAGGAATTTTATTAGAATTGTCAATAGGATTATACATTGATAATCCCTACTGTTTGTAATTACATAAAGAGTATACAACAAGCTACACGTACAACTTTAGTTATTATCTATTTTAAATAGTCCGCTACACAGTCATTAGGCTACCCAATTGGTTCTACACTATGCTACTATACCTGTAACCTGCCTGTGAGTTATCTATTTAAACACTCTGTTCATTAACTCATACTGATCTAATCTAACGTCACTGCAATACCTAACTACTTAAGCTAGCTAGCTTATTACAGATTCATTTATTCAGAATGGCTTAGGTCTTCTTAGGATACATTGTACCAGATGCATTGCTAGTACTGCAAAGCCAGTTAATATCAAAGCAAATCTACTAGAGTAG